ATGTGCATGCGTAAAGATATTCCGCGCATGCGTAAAGGTATTTCGCGCATGCGTAAATGCCTATGCGCATGCGTGAACGCATTATGCGTTGACGCATGCGCAGAAAGTTTGTAGCTTTGAGGTCCGGATTATAGATCATTTCGGATTATGGGTGTCCAGATTAACGACTTTTGACTGTATATTTCGAAAACAGCAACCTGGTGGGGAGGCTTTTATGAATGCATAGTGCGTTCCGTGAAAGTCGCTCAATGGAAAATCTTTGGAAAGTCATCTCTGACTACTTAGCAGTTGCAAACTGTTCTTATTGAAATTGAAGGTATGATTAACTCTCGACTAATTTCCCATGTTGGAAGTGACTTAGATGAACCACATGCTTTAACTCCAGGGCATTTCCTTTTAGGAAAAAGAATATCATTGTTGCCCTCAGAGAGACTTTATCTTGATTCAAATTTTTCTTCCAGGAATTCTTTGATAATTATCGCCAAAAATTAATGAGTTCTTTTTGGTCCAGGTGGAAAAAAGAGTATTTATTGAATTTAAGATCTGCCCATTCAAGTTTGATTAAGAATAATGTTCCCGAATAAAGTTAATGATATAGTTTTAGTTAAGGAGGATCATTTACCCCGAAATTTCTGGACATTAGGGAAAACCCCTGAGTTATTTCCTGGAAGAGATTGTAAGGTGGGAGCTTGCAAGGTAAAAACCGAGTCATCGGTTATCAGACGTCCTGTACAACTTTTGTACAATTAAGAACATCAGAACTAAAGTGTTAATCTTCATTATTAATTTACACATATGTATTGTGTGTATATCTTTTCATAGCTGTTTATTATTTTTCAATTATTCTGCTAAAATTTGTAATTCTAGTAACTTCCATGCACAAATTTAATAATTTAAAATGTACTTAAGTTCACAGAGTCATGGTATGCTCTCTCAGGGGGCCACTGAATGATCTAATAAAAAGGTGAATATTGCTTTTTTTAAATTTGATAATGTTATACTTAAATTGCTTAATGTTTCATTTGAATTTTCAGTTATTTAGATTATATATTCTTTTCTTGTGTCTAGAACTCAAATGTTTTTTGTAGTATGAATGTATACTGTTTATATACAAGTTAAATGAATGCCCTGTGGTTCATGGGGGGAGGCAAGTTGTTAAAAATAAAATGATCATGTTATCAGAAGGCGTGATTAACGGCCGTCTGAATTCTTTTCCCAGCACGCCTTGCGGCAAATGTTTATGGAAAAAAAGACCTTAGATTTTGGGTGTAACATTTTTCTTGCTTTCTAGGCTAGTTCCCCCCCCCCCAGTTGCTCATCTAATTCCATTTAAATTGCTTTAACATATTTATTTCTTCTTTAAATCTAATAATTCTTGCTGTCAATTTCGTATTTTAAAATCCCATTATTCTATCACTTAATTCTTTCAATTAGCAATAATTCTAGGTTGTTGCACAGATTTGTACTCAATTATTCTCATATATTTTTTGCACCTGTTACTTCCTGTCACAAGATTGCTATATCTGGCTTATCAGCACTGATATCTGATGGCATTTTTTACCCCTTTTCATGACTGCTGTATACATAGTATCGAACTCATGAATGGATAGGGAAGGTCGTACAGTCTTATACATCTACGAAAAACAAGTCATGATCTTGATGAACTGTTGCAATCAATCCATGAATCTTTACTGATATTACACAAAATGAAAAGATTTTCATTAAACAAGCAAATGATGTGTTGTCTGTTTAAAAAAAAAAAAATCTTTGCACTCGAAAGTATGACCTCAAGTAAAAACCAACACATCGAGAGATCTAAAAATCTTGAAATTTTTTAGCCAGAAATTGCAAGATTTACAAAAGCAAAGCACTGTGTTGCAAAGGAAATATTTTCTGCAATGTGAAAGAAACAGAATGAAACAAAATTGCAATAATGATAAAATACTTAATAGCACACAAATGCCTTTACGTTTGGGTCAAGATCATGTTTTGGTTTTTGCACTAAATTCATGAACTCAGCTATATATATATATATATATATACAAAGTCTGTAATCCGGATGTCCATTATTCGGAATGATCTATAATCTGGACTTCAAAGCCACAAACTTTACGCATGCGCGTAGAGAATGCGCATACATTACACGCATGCATTACGTGTGCTTTACGCATGCGCACGTTGAAAGAAATGTTTAACAAAGTAAACAAATAAATATTAAGCTTCTTTTTTGTAAAAATGCGATACCCTTTAGATCATAATTGCTCTTTATTTTATAAATTATGGTTTCATATTTTTAATTGTATAATTTCTGCATGTCATCTTACCAGATTTACATTGATGATCTATAATCCAGAAAAACCCCTAATCTGAAGTCACCAAAGTCCCGACAAGTCCGGATTACGGACTTTGTACTATACAGTCAAAAGGACTCGTCGGCAATTCCAGATTATAGATCATCAATTTAAATCTGGTAAGATGGCATGCAGCAATTATAAAATTTAAAATATGAACCACAACCCTCCACAAACAAAATCCATGTAAGAGAAGAATCATTCACTTTTTAGTGTGCAATAACATTCCACCTACTACTGTTTTAAATTAACAATCCTTACATGTATATGCTATAAACAGAAACACTTAATTGTTGAAATTTTATATATTCATTTGAAACGATTTGCTATTATTCTTCCCATACAGAAATTTTAAGGTAATGAAATGGTTTAATTCACATTATTCATTATGAGGTACAGTAGAAGTCCGATAATCCGGCACGTTCGGGACCGGCTTGGTGCCGGACTACCGAAAATTCCGGTCTATTGGGCGGTAATTATACGAACAATTAGGTTAATAATTAAACTAAAAATACAGTATGCAAATACATACAACAAAGTTTATTTTACATTTCATATAAACATTTCATATTACATTTCAGGTATTAAATCATTATCAGCCACGATTTTCTCAAACTCGTCTTTGTATTTTTCTGCAGAGTTTTGGTTTGCTGAAAGGGTTTCTCCAGTTACATCAAGTCTTCGAATTCCATGCCGAAACTTAAAGTTTCTGAGCCAACCATCAGAATAATTACATTCACTTTCAGCAACTCCTAAATCTTGGCCGAATTTCTTTGCCTTTTTCAAACAATCATTGGCCCTGTTACCGGCTTTCCTTCAGAACGTACTGCACTAAACCATTTGAACCATACACTATCTAGCTGTTCCAGTTTTGGTTTTTTTAATGTTTGTCTAGAAGCCAATTTTTCAGTTGTTACCGATCGAGAAGCAAACTTCATTAGTTCATCTTTTTGTTTTTTAATGTCATAAATAGTTGATGAGCCCAATATTAAACTCATTCATTAAAAAACATTCTATTCTCGCCTTTTTCTAGCCGTTTGATGATTTCTAGTTTCTGATTGAGAGTCAGTGTTACGTGTTTTTTCGTTTCTCTCTCCTTTTGAACTCGAAGCTTAGGTTTGAAAACTGGTCACTGTACAGTTAGAAGAAACGAAATCACTTTTTTTATAACAGTTTCAAAAGTTACATTTACTGCGATGTGAAAGGACACAAAACAACAACGCACAAAAAAATGGCGAAGGCGCTTCGTGATTGATTAAACGGAGCTGCACTGCACCTGAATTTGTTGTGACAGCTGAGACTAGCCAGCCGCTAATTGTTTTCTGAACAATACCGAGCGCTTCCGGATGATCTCGAACTACCCCGAAAACTTCCGAATAGCTCTCGAGCGGTTTTTTTGCTTTAAAAGACCACTTTTGGAGAAAACCAAAATTTTTACAATTTTCCGGAGCGATGCCGGACTATCGGGCATTCCGGACTGTTGGATGCCAGACTAATGGACTTCTACTGTAATTTAACTCAGAAAAAAGAAACAGAAAAACATAAAACGAATGGTTCATGTTAAAGTTTGAAAATCTATTATACAGTCAAAAGTCGTTAATCCGGATGTCCATAATCTGGAATGATCTACAATCCGCACCTCAAAGCTACAAACCTTCTGCGCACGTGTAAGCGCAAGCATATGCGTTTACGCATGTGCATAATACCTTTACACAAGCGCATATGCATTTATGCATGCACTTAATACGTTTACGCATGCGCGTTTAATGTATAATGGACGGTATAAGCTAAACTAAAATTATCTATTTCAGTTAATGTTGCAGATTACATTGTTCCTTAATATTTGAATTGGATGCGGCTTATTATTTTTTGCAGACTGTTAGAGCAATTTTATAAAAGTAAGCTTGAACTTTCGATTATGTCAAAAAGAATTTCTGATTCAGGAGCTGTCAAAGGATCTACAAAGAGAAAGCATGTTTCGATGTTCATCAAACAAAAAGTGAAATTGCTGCAAAAAATGGATAAAGGCATATTCTCTGTTTCTCTAACCATTCCGAAATCTGTTTATCAATTTCACACTGCTCTGCGGAGTGGCGGGGACGTAGCAGCGCGCAATGAACTGGAAGTTGATCTGTCAGCACTATCCTTATCTTCAGGGCAGATGTTTTTATTTTATTCGGCTTATAATTCCTTACTAAATGTAGTATTTCATCTCAATGTACTCTGTCTTTGATATGATTTTAATCAAATTCCTCGTCATTATAAATATAATGAATACACATCAAATAAATTTCTGGTTGCAATTTTCTAATTTCGACTATGCGTAATGTATGCTTTACGCATGCGCATGTTAAAAGAAATGTTTAATAAAGTAAACAAATAAATATTAAGCTTTTTTTTTTCGTAAATTTTGATACCCTTTAGATCATAATTGCTCTTTATTTCATAAATTACGGTTTCATATTTTTAATTTTATAATTTCTGCATGCCATCTTACTAGATTTAAACTGATGATCTATAATCTGGAATCGCCCGACGAGTGCGGATTAAAAACTTTTGACTGTACATATAAATATGCAAAATTTAAATATGTTATTGATGAACTAACAGCAAAATGAAAAGATTCGATAAAAATTTTGAAAATGTTACCTCAGAAGTGTCAAAAAGGCAGCAGGTTCCACATCAGGAATTTCAATTTCTGATTCGTTATCAGCCAAACCTCCAAAGAACATTGCATAAAAAACTGAGCTTCCAGTTGCCAACACATATTTATGTGCTGGAATTCTTTGGGCACTTCCTTTGGGACCAACTAAAAAGTGGACATCACTCATCAATTCGTTGTTGAACATTGCAGCATTGCGCTCACGAACACTAGCGTGATTTGACTGCCAGTTTGGGTCAGAAGTACTTCCAGGACTTGTACTTCCGGTACTGCTCCCACTGCCCGACGCAGGAGATGGGCTGCATGACACGGAACACTTAAGAGTAGGGCTTGGTAAAGGACTAACTAAAGATGGCGGTGGAGAATACTGCAGTGGTAAATTAGCTGGGATTGTTTGCAAATTTCCTAGTCCTAAAATGAAAACAGAAGACATACTGGTTTAATGAGAACTCCTAAAATTAATCAATATATAAATGCTAATGGATTTCTTGAAACTTACCTTATGAGGATAGAAAATTAATTACGATAATCATTTAAATGACTATTTCAAAAAACTCTTGGAAAAAAAGTAATGGTGAGAAGGGGAAAACTATTTTATACATTCACATTTAGTAAAGTAAATTAACACACGCTTTCCAACTAATGACAGTTGAACTTTTTATCATCTTCATTAAGGACAAAAAGTTTAAAATGCATTAAATTTTGGACATCAAAAACTCTTTCTTCAATTTCTCCAACTCTGTTTTCAACAGTCTCTAATCTGGCTTCAAGAACATTAAATTTCCTTTCTATTATAGCAGTAATTAGTTAAGAGTAGATTGAAGGGTGCCCCTTGTATTATCGCGAAGTTGTTGTTTCATTTATGGTAACCTGAGTATGGACACCCTATTATGATGTAATCAATTGCATATTGCCATAAATTTTGAATGACAGTAAAAAGATTTGCAAGGGCTCATGCTGCGTGTTGGTTAGGAAGTACATTGCTTGTTTTGTGGTTTCGACGGTAGAATGTTGTAATATTAATTTGAATTTCTGTACGATTTGGAACGAAAAGGGGAAAAGCGCATTAATTGACTGATGTGTAAAACGAAGATTTACTTAGTTAGCTATTATAAGTATCCTGTTTGTAGAAAAGAAATGCATATGGTTGAATGTTGGAGGATATTTTTGACTCATTTTTGCGGTGACACTGATATACAGATTCTAGTTCAGATAATTTTAGGAAGATTTTGGATGCTGTTAAGGAATTTTGGATGCCACAGTTTGAAGGACTCAGAAATTTCTAAATAAGTAAGTGGGTATTTGCTTTGTGCAATGCCTGGATGCATTAGATGAATTTCCTTTTTTATTTTATTTTATTGTTTGATTTGAAATGGTAGTTTATTGAGATTATGTATTTTTTGTTTGGCTCTACTGCAGAATTGGATGCTCCTTTGACTTAAGTGAAAATAGATTGATGTATACATGGATAAAGTCAAGGGAGTGCACAATGCCAAGTTAGTGTGCAATTGTCCGATTTTATTTTAAGTGAAAATAGGTTGATGTGTACATGGGCATCGAGTTTGTGCAATTCTTTGACTTGTTATTTCGTCTTCGTGCAGCGGTGATTTTAGCAGCAAAGCCAAAATAACAAGTCAAAGAACTACACAACTCGGTATCCATGTACCATCAAAAAATATATTTTAACCCAATAATTTCTCTTTCCATTTCCTCTTGACCTGCTTCAATCTTTTTTTGAACTGATCCGATGCCACTTCCGTTTCTTCTTTGCCTGTTCTCATATCTTCTTTGAATGTAGCAAAGGCTGCCAGCCAGCTGTTTCAATTACTCTTCCATTGCTCTTCTAAGTGCCATTCAACTCCTAAGCACTACCTGTTGAAGCTGTTTGTTACACAGAGAAACAAAAATACACTGAATACATATCGTACTTACACATTCCATACACATTTTATAGTGAAACAAAAGACTTTTCACATTATTCAATAAGAAACTCTTAATTACTCTACCTGACATGTAAAATTATATGCTATCTAATAAGTTGTTATTTGACTCATATATTCTGTTTTCATGTATGATTTCATCACACACTGCATTATTTTCATTACCACTCAGTCCGCTTTTTTTATTTTTTGACTATCAATAATTTGTTCCTAATATTTATGACTGATGAAGATTTAGAATGTAAATCAACTACATTTGTTCTTCTCTAATTTTTGTATTATAATTCCACACTGTAAACGTAAAAAAACTTCAAAAACAGTAAACTACCATAATATGGATAAGAGTTATTTTCAGTAGAGATAATATGTAAGAATGATTGAAACTTCATTTCTCATAACCTTCCCAGAAGTGAATAATATATTTTATTTATTCTACAAAGAAATATACAAAACTAACGTGTAATAATAAACTAACTTAATTTACGTGAAGAATAACACAGATCAAAATACATTTCAATTCTATCACCAAATGTTACAGCTGCCCACAGGGTGAAAATTACTATTCTGTAATACCCAAATCTACTTTCCGTTATATTATAATTAAGAAGGAAAAAAATTAATCACATCGCAGGGTATAAAAACCCACATGAAATTTAAAACTATTACCGCCAGTAACTTTGTAAAAACCATTGCATTTAAAAATTCGACTTTTAATACGTATAAAATACAGAATATTTTTATACAGATAAATAACCTAAATTTAGTAATACAAATAAAAAAGGCTTCACACATAATTGTATGAAATAAACTTACCCAACATCCAAGTTTTGTTAAAATGGGCGCAACTTGTTTCTTCTCGTCGTTTGTTTGTTTTGGCAGACATCATACGTCTTCCAGTGAGAATTAGCAATATATACAAATGACCGTAGTTACGCCATTGACTACCATCTCAGGTCAGATTTCTACACAGTCTATAGAGGTCAAATACGTGAACATTTTGATTGCACTAATACGAAAGTTTGATAACAGTTAAATAACGAATACTTGAAAAGGACTTTTATCAAATAAACTTTTTTACATACTTTGCTTGGTTACTAAATCTGGGTAGCTCTGCTACCTGAATGAAACCACTGTAACTAATGTAATACATGGGTATATGCCCAAACATAAACATATAAATGAAATCCATTAAAAAATTAGAAAAAAGTTTGGAATTTATTTTTTTCTTAAACTTAATAATGCTTAATAATAGTACTGATTTCAAAATGACCAACATCAATTAAATAAATTCCCCTACCTAGTTATATATTTTTACACAATTTATTCAACTGATATGACTTTTAAATATTTTCGTATATTTTTACTGTTATATATTTTACAATGCACTTAGTAAAATTTACCATTTTACATGTTATTTTATACTTTAATTAACATTCTACTTTCATAATTTTAATACAATGTCAAGAATTTTTAAATTAAGAAATGTTACAAATATAATAGGAAGAATTAAATATTTAAAAATAATCTCAGTTTATAACTTTAAATCTTTTTTTTTTTTTCAAACACGTGGTGGCAACTCTATTTTGTTCATGGTCTGAGATTCGCGAAACGTGTTTGTGGAATTGTAGGCGCCATCGTGTATTGGTAGGCTTTGTTGTAAAGAGCTCATGTAATCATTTTTTTTATGAGGTGTTATTCTGTTGTGTTTCCTCTGTAAGTTTTTTTTTTAATAAGCATCTGTTAATAAATACACTTTATGGTGAACGTAAATGTTACGTGTATAACATGTCTTAGATCGTTGGGTAACTTAAGCCTAAGGAAAAGCCACGTTTTAACCCTTCTCTCTCTCCCAGAACGTTAATGTAATAATTTAATGTGTAATATCCATTAATTATTACCAGATTTTTCTGTTTAATTTTTCAAATAATGCAGAAGAAACGCAGTTAGACTTCACCCGTATTTAAAAATGTTGATCTTGTAGATCTGGTTAATACTCATGTAATTTATTATACGCTAAAAGCTTTTAAAATTTTTATGTAACTCCTTCATTTCACTAAGATTTTATAAATAAATAGGGGTGAGCTTATACGCAATAGGATTTAAACTATTTTATCTTTTTATAAGCAAATTTCTATATAAATGTTAACAAGATTTTCAATGTGCTTTCATTTCACTAAGATTTTATAAATAAATAAGTGTGAGCTTATACGCAATAGGATTTAAACTATTTATCTTTTTATAAGCAAATTTCTATATAAATGTTAACAAGATTTTCAATGTGCTATCTCGCTTTGATAGATGGCTCGGCTCTCGAATTATAAGCAATGTGTTATCTCGGCTTATTCTCGTTTACACGGAACCTTTTAAATTATGTTAATATGTGTTCTTATTCGGTAAAGGTATGCATGAAATATTTTTAAATAAAATTTTGCTCCATTATGATTAAATCCCCCTTCCTTAAAGAATAAACACAATGAAAGTTTTAAGTTCATCTTTAAAATTCTGTTGTGAATTGCTATTGATCATTTGCTTTATTTTTTAGGTAAAATGCAGATATTTGTGAAAACCCTTACTGGAAAGACTATTACTCTTGAAGTAAGTAGTATCTTGTTGCTTTGTTCATAACTGTATTGAGTGCTAAAGTAAGTGGTAGCTCAGTAAGCTGTCATATAAAATCATACCTAAAGTATGCAGTAGTCGTCAAAAAAGAGAGAACATTAAATGTACTTAGCTTAAGTAATACATAAAAGCGAGTTTGATTTGAGTCAGCTCGTTTTAAATGCATCCTAGAATTTTAATCAAGGCATTTGCATTTTTTGACAGTGAAAATACTATCTACAAAATCTAAATTTTGGGTAAATAATAACTAATTATACTACAAAACCTAAGTTTCGAATGACTTGTTTTTGCTTGTAATTTTATCAGGTACAAGTAACGATAGGTGGGACACCGTAAGTTAAGTCGTTGTACAGGTATAATACCACTAAACTAGCTGTTAAGTTCTGACCAATTTTGAGAACTAACATCCTGGATGTGGTCTGAGAGCCGCCTACCCATCATCAAGTGCCCCCTTGTGCAGTCACTTATAAGCTTACAAACATCCTCTCTTCTGAATTCAAACCTGGGCCCATTGATATAGCAGCCAGTATCATGAACCACTATGCCAGTTGAGCGGCTTTTAAATTTCTTCAGTAGGAAGTAAAATGAAAATAATCATAAAACATTTTATAAATTCTAATGTTTTAAATAATACCAAATAAAAAGATAAATCCAGTTGGCAGCACTTAGTTTTTAGATATAAAAAATGTGTGTCTGATGAAAAAAGTCTCATTGGAAAATTATAAATTTCCGAGATCATATAGCAAACATTAAAATGCTGTAGAAGACCAAATTTCTAGTTTAATATAATTGAAAGCTGTATTGCACATCTCATGTTCATCAGAAATAACTGACAGTATCCAGTGAATAAATTAAGAAATCGGCAAAATTGCAAGCATTTATGAGTAAATTTTCTAAAAGCAAAGGGGAAATTTTTTTGACACAGGAATATATATAATATATTAAAAAATGAAATAGCTAAATACAGTTTGCTTATGAAATGAATTCAAATATTTACCTTTAATAGCATGTGTAAATAATTAAAGATGTAAGCTTCAAACATACAAATAAAATTATCCCCCTTCCCTTCTCGAGCTGACATCTAAACTAGTAATCTTAAGTACTGTGCCCATTGGTTGGCGCATGTCGCTTGAGTGCGATTTCGTGAAGTTCAGCGAGTGCCAGTTATCTGAGTTACCCCCCCCAAGATCTTACTGTGTATGAAGTTAACCTAAAAAATTTTTGCTGAATGGCCAATCTGCTCATGAGCATATTGTAGTAGATAGAAAAATGAGTTATATATTTAATTATGTAATCATACGTACATAGTCTAATTTTTTGTCCTCTACTAAAGACATGTTTTTAGCAATAAATGAAATTTAATTAATTGAGGCAACTTAAATTGTGTAAATTCTTTTCTGTCACTTTTGTGATTTTCAGAATAATCTCCCCTTGATTGTTACTTAATATAATACTCGTGTGATAGATAAATGTAACTGTTTAATTTTGCAGCTCAAATGTAGCTTTTTAATTTATGCTGTGTCAAAGTACAGGGTGATTATCAGAAAAACTTCCCCCATATATGAACCATTGCTGGCCTGTCTGCCCAACCAGTCAAAATGAAATTTCAGGTATTATTTGAAGTTATGTGCTTGATTGTGAATATTTAATTTGAAGTTTTTGAATTGCATCATCTACTTTTTCTTGTACAAATAAATCAGTATCATGAAAAAACAAATTGTATTGGAACAGTACACATATAACAAAAACTTCTTTGTTTAGAAGACCTTTATAAGGGACTAGTGAAAACAAATGCACTTTCTATAATTTACAGGGATAGACGGCTTAAGCCCCAATCACAGAACACCAAGTGCAAATCTTTTAATAAGCAGTGTGGGAAGATTGTTTCTTCAGTCAGATGCACACCTTCAAACAATACCTAGTGCAAATCTTTTAATAAGCAGTGTGGGAAGATTGTTTCTTCAGTCAGATGCACACCTTCAAACAATACCTGAAATTAAATTTTCATTGGCTCAAAATCAAAAAGCTATAACAAAGTTAAAACTATCATGGTAACCAGAAATGAGGTTTTATCGCCAAATTTTTTTAAAAAATTCCCTATTCAAAGGGGCACCCAATGCTACACTATAGCCAAGATTATTAAGTACTGGTAGTTTAAATTCACATTTTCATGGTTTTCTCCATGCATTGAGTACAGGCCTGCTTTTCCTAGAAGATAGCCTGCTCCATTTGGCTAAATAGCCAATGTATTATTTGCCACAATGAAATAATCCAATGCATCTGTTAATGAGAGTAGTATTCCTTACTAATGTTTTATATCCCTCTTTGTAAAAGACTGTCCTTTAAAATAGTGTTATTTAGGAATTGTTGCTTTCTTTGTTTTATGTTATAGTAAATAATTAGTCATTAAAATTGTTTTAATCTACAGAGTTTAACCTTTTTTACTGGTTTTATCTGCTGTTTTTCGCTTCTTGGTTTTATTTTCAAACACCGGAGATGTAGTGTTTATTAAGAATGAAGTAAAATTCTTGTGCAGATTAAATAGTTTTTTCTAGATTTTGTACTTCAGAAATTGTTTATTTTAAATGGTTTAGTTACATATTTCTTATTTACAGGAAAGAGCAATAAATTGCTGTTAATTCTAAGTGAAATGAACCAGTGAAAATCTGCATCAAAATAAAGTGGCTGTTTTGGTTAATTTTAAATCCAAAAAGACATTTGGTTATTAACTGAAGTTTATTTTTTAATTAAGAAAACAAATACAAAATTCCTCGTGTTCGATGAAATATTCTGCAAGGCTTACAGATATAAGTAACTCATAATACAGGAGATGCAATTCAATAGTTAAAACATAGTCATAATAGTATGCAAAATAATTCAGTGACACATGAAAGATTAAAATCCAATCATATAAATAATAATACTAAAACTTCAAACAACAAATTAAATTGTGCAAGACTGCAAAGGCTTCTGAGTTCCTAACAAGATGGCATTCAAATACAACCTACAGTGTAATAAAATATATTCCATCGCATCACCACAAGCACAGAATCCACTAGTAATAATATTGAAATAAGTATATGATCTGGTTGAAAATGCCTACACTTAAGTTACTGGAAAACAATAAGGGAAAATCTCTTTGTCCACTGGGCCTTTGAAGAAGCGAGATATTCAGCATTCCAATCGGCCAGTTTTTTCCAAGCCATGTGCTTCCAATAAGACTTGGTAGCTGACAGCATTAAATCAATATTATGATAAGTCGCCTGCTTAGCCAGATGCTCAGCCCGCTCATTACCGAGACTTGCCACTTTAGCCTCAAAGATAGGCAAAATGAATGTCTGCAGTATACTCAATCACATGCAACATAATAGAAAGTTTGTAGCAGTTTTCTTCACTTATGCCAAAACTGTATAAGGATTATATTTTCTACGTTATTAATAGGCATTTTCTTGATGAAAAATTCTCATTCCTTATTAATTTCTTCCTTAAAAATAAGCAATAGGAATTAAACCAAATATTTTTTCAAAAAATGGTATATTCAGAAAGTAATGACAAGTCTTGCAAAATGTTGTAATATTTGATCAAAGTAAATAAAGTAGGGGGTTTAAATACTTTAAAAAAAGATACTTTTTCTCCGTGTAATAAATTGTATTGCTAATATTTTAAAACAAGATGCTATTAATAACATTAACAGGCATGTAACTAGCGTTATTTTCAGTTGAAATGTTAAATGTTTTTTTTTTTTTTTTTTTTCCCCCAGGTTGAACAAAGTGATACTATTGAAAATGTGAAGACTAAAATTCAAGATAAAGAAGGTAAGCTGTTAAAAGTAATTTATTAACAGCAGATAAAAGGGTAAAATTGTAATATATGTTTCACCTGTAACTTCTCCATTTAAAACCTTGCCAATTGGCGTGGCTTGTACAATCACATTTTGTGTCTAATCATAATTTACTGTAGTAGATTTCTCAGCTTGAGATTTGCTGAGAGTTGAACAAGTGACCATTCTGTTAAAAAAATATTCCTCACAAAGAATTGTGTTTGAATAACTACTTTGTAAAATTAAAATTTTATTCATGGCCAAAATTGTGCAGTTTTTATTCTTGATGAGAATTAAACGTGATCTGTTGCTCATGTTACTGCCACTTGATTTTCTGATACTGTTAAGAATTAAGGTCTGCTAACCCAAGCTTGTTTTGACTGAATCACAACAGAGTGATGATTGATTGGAATAATTACTAAACGATATGCACCAATTCCTTGTCTCATGCTTTCGTTATAATTAATGAACACTATAAAATTTCTTAGGTTGATGTAGACTTATTCATACACATACAAAAAAAAAATTATAGACTTCTGCCACATTTAGTTTCTTAGAGGATTTTTGTCTTGAAAATTAGAAAATGTTTCTTTATTGCAATTCCCAATCTTTCTGTTTCATCTAATAGTATACTGAAAGGAGCCGAAATATGCCACTGTAATGTCAGAAATACAGGGTGTGTCATCAGATTGAAAAGTACTGATGAGTTTAGGAAGTGAAATCGGTGTTATTTGCATACGCAAAGTCTGACCTGCTAAATTCTTATTTAGAAAAATGAAATGGTTATGTGAGCAGCTTAGCATAGATTAGATTTGGATATAGAACAGATTACTTTCAGTTGTAATACAGGTTGGTTTAATAATTGCAGGTATCCCTCCTGATCAGCAGCGATTGATTTTTGCTGGTAAACAGTTAGAAGATGGAAGGACTTTGTCAGATTATAATATTCAGAAAGAATCTACATTGCACTTAGTCCTTCGCTTGCGTGGTGGAGCAAAGAAACGCAAGAAGAAGAATTACACTACTCCCAAGAAAAATAAGCATAAGAAGAAGAAGGTTAAGTTAACTGTACTCAAGTTTTACAAAGTAAGTGCATAAAATGTCTTTATTAATTACATTTAATTTTCTAAGGTGCAAAGAAGAAAGTATCGACAAAAGGCTCTAAATGAGAAAATTGTACAGATCTGAATGTTTTGAACATTTGTTTTTCAGTAATCTTCATTACAAACAAAATGTATGGCACTACTGCAGGATTACAGAACACCATGTAGACTTATATATTTCTACAGCATGGTTTTCATAATAAATGTCTTTGCATACTGTATCTCCTTGTCTCTTTTTGGAGTAGGGGTATTGTATTATTTTTTGATATCATTTTCATTCAATTTCTGTTACTGATTTTTAAATGCTTAAATATTTTCCTCCATCTTAGCCTCTACTTGTTTTTGGCAGTATTTTATTTTTCATTTTTCTAGATTGTGACTGACCTAATTTATTGTTAACAGAGGTATTCAGCTCTCAAAAATTCTTTGTTTCCTGAAAATTTTTAGTTATAACAAGTAACCTGTAAACAAAGCTATTTTTAAACTCTTAACTAGTAACAATTATTACCTAAAATAATTATTGGAAAGCTTTAATGTTAATCTGTCTGAAGATTAACCTAATTTTGTTAGATATTATCATACCTGCCAACCTCTAAAGATCAAAATTCAGAAGAACATGAAGAATTAATATCATGCTTTGATATTAAAAAAATAACAATTTATACAAATAGAAAAAAGAAAATTGTAGTAGAACCCTCAATACTTAAAGGAGTTAATATCTAAATTTGCATCTCTTATATCAGGATCTTGATCTAGCTAGGAGAATGCTACTTCTTAATATTAATAAATTTTTATTGTACTTCAAAAGAAATATGCATGACTCTTGAATTAAGATTTAGGGATATCAGAAACCTGCACATTGCAAATTTGCTTCTCCATGCTTAATTATTAATGCTGTGTATCAAATATTAATAGTATACTGATGGCCAGAAGCCTTACTGAAGTAATCAGCAAATAAATTTATAATTTATACATCTTAAAAATTAATGCTATACAGTCCAAGATCCGGACTCGTCGGAACATCAGCGATTCTGTATTTGTGATTTTTCCAGGTATTGGATCATTTTAAATCTACTAAGATGCCATGTAGAAATAAAAAAATTAAAAATATGAAATAATGAAGCATTTATGATCTAAAGAGTATCAAAATTTACAAATAAAAGCTTAATGTTGATGTAAGAAAAGTAAAGAAGATTAAATAAGCAACGTAAATTTCCCTTCTTTATTCTAAAAATAGTAACCTCTCTCTGCACTGCGTCATTTCGAGAAAAATCTGTCATATGACTCACCGTTTACTTCTGGTGATGTAAACGGAACTAAAACTCTTAACAGCCAATAATAATTTTACAGGTCTATTAACCATCCAATCAGAATGTTTTGAGAACTAAAACTAACTCAGTCTGACTTGAGATTTCATCCTGAACATTACACGATTTCTTTCCACGTTTTGGCCTAGCTAATTTGCTGTCTGTCTGCTTTTTTTTTTACTACAAAGTTATCGAAAATGTAAACCTTTTGGAACAGGTACATTTAATGTGCCGACTTGTGTGTAACTGAAAATAAAACTGAAGATTTAATCTGTATTCGCCTCCAATTTCCTATTCATTGTGGATCGTCGTTTCTGCATTCTGAAACATCAAAATTCCTTCTCCTGAATTTATTACATTTATATGTTTACTTTATTAAACATTTCTTTCAATGCAAGCTGTTTAAGTTACATTGTTTTTTGTATTAATACTTCATCTTTAATTCTAATAGAGAATTTGGACTACCTTGTCAATCGATAAAAAAAAACTTTCCAATAACACCTGTGTCACTTTCTTCACTATCGGCAGTGGTATTTTCTGGATCTAGAACCATACTACAAATTTTAACATCCATTTATTGATGATTGGGGCATTGTCATTGCAATGAAAAACTCCTCTTCTTCCCTAAATTCTGCTGTCTGGTGTGAGCATGCGAGTTCCGACACCAGTTCTGGCTTTATGATGAATAACAAATCAGTTATTCTTAATTCAAATAACACTAAATATAATCTTTTGGCATATGAGTATCATTAACAAAATCTTCTTTTAGCGTATGGAAAGGAATATTTGTTAAACCATTCCTTGTCAACATTTTAGTGCATTTAAATCTGATCGGATAATACTCTTTTATTATTCAATTACTAATAAAAAAAATTGTTTAGGCATCACTGTATGAGTCATCACTCAAGTTGTCAGTGATGAAAGCTAGAAGCAATAAATAATGTTTTGCCAGATTGCCATCAAGAACATAAAATATTGGTGTAAAATCAACAATGTTTCGGTTTGAGATCATGCCAAGCAGATATGCAGCTATGGAGTCAAATTTTTTATCTCACAAACTTATGCTAAAATGATTATTTCTTCAATAATGAGGTATTTTATTAGGTACCGAACTGAGAATTAAGAATTGGGACTCTCTGCTTGTTTTATTACGAGGAGGGAAAAATCAAATGTGCATTTTTAAAGCATAACCCTCCTCCAATAAAGTCCTAAAAATAATTGGTTGGTGGTGGCTTTGAGGTTCGAATATTGGACATCCAGATCTCAGTTTTTACTGTATTATAATAAAATAAGCTCAGTGTGAGAGTTAATATTTCAAGCGAATTCAACAGTTACGATAGTACAGATTGCCTAAAACAGTTTTGTATAAAAAAAAGAAAAGAAAAATATATAGTTCATCTAATGTAATTTCATGATTTCAGCTGGAAATTAATACTATTTAACTTACTTAATTTGTAAACCAATAACTGACAAGTTAAATTTGAAATAAAAATTAAATGTCTTATGCTTTGCAGGGTGCCAATTTCACACAATTTAAAAAATAATAAAATTTTGAGCTGTAGATGCGCGTTTGAGTGGAAAGCTGCTGCTGTAAGTATTGCCATTTTCCCACAATGGGAAGAATGTGCATATTCATTATTTGATGATAGATATAACCTGTGTAATATATAGATTATTTTTTTCACGTTGTATAATATTTTCAGCTAACTTAATCTACACATAAGCAAACCTACATACTTAGGGCTCAGTGGTGTCCAAATTATATCATGCAAAGAAGTGATATGATGAGATTTAAATCCATTCTCTGACTACATTCTGATTTCCTGTGGTCCTGTTATGCAGCATAACACCCCATGGTAAGTAGTGAAGGAATAGTAGGGTTCTCCTATTGTTTTTTGCTGCTTTTCTTTGGGGGGATGAACAAGAACAGAATGTATGTGAATGAAAATCAGGCTCTGATCACTTATTACTTGATGTGTTAAAATTCAGAAATTATATTATTTTACTGATCTTACGAGGGCTGGTTAAAAAGCTGTACAAGGTATGGAGCTTATTTATATTTTACTTTTGCATCAAGTAAATTTCTTGGAAATTCAAAAGCTTATTTTTGTATACAAATGTTCCAGGCTGCAATATTTGTGGTTTAAGATTGAATAAATTTTAATGCAGTTTAATTTCATGATATATATGTATACTAGATACATTTTATATTGGGACATCTGAAAAGTGTTTTTTTTTTTTTTTTTTTTTTTTTTTTGTGTGTGTGTGTGTGTGTGTGTGTGTGTGTATGTGTGGTAAATATGAATGGTGGACAGTATCTTTGAAGATTAGACAATTTTGGGCTCTGGTCTCTGCTTCAATTTTTGCTTTTAAAACTATATTTGGAAATAGTATTTTTATGAATTTATTCTCTGATTTGGTGGCAACAGTTTATAATATGCAATTCCCTTGTAGTCCCATTGTGCATAGAATATTACTAATAATATTGATGCAGCCCGTCTTGATATTAAATAAAAGAGGTTCTTCTGGCTTATCCTGTTATCTTCATAATGTCACTGTATAATATCTAGTAATAAGCTTTCAAAAAAGGAACTCCTTTCTTTACATACCAAAAAAAATAGCTAAAACATATTTTGCTCTTTTTTTTTAAGTATGGGTTACCCGTTTAAGTGGCTTACATGCCCAGCCTTGAGACTTGCATACCAGTCAAATGGTTGTGCATTGTACCTCAAATGAATGTGTAATGTACAACACTTGAACAAGCATATGGAGAATCTTGGATGGGCCTTATATTTGATGCAAAAATTTCTATGCTTCCCATACCACCTTAAACTGTATCCTAGCATTTTTTTCTAGCACAAATTTTGCGTGCAATCCAGTTAAAAAAATTTAAGATAAAAAAGCATAATATGGCAAAAATGAGTTTTTAGCTTTTAAAACTGCACGATGAAAATTGTGGCAAATCACATGCTAGAGTTAAGCAGTACAAGCAGAAAATTCAATATCTAAACTAACTTCGATTGCTGCCACTGTGTGTCAGAAGTAATAAAACCAGTAGAAGGAAACAAGCTTTGATTTGAAAAATGCACAGTTTTTCTGGTGACCGAATATTTGCTCTGTGATGAGAATTTGGAATTACCATTTGACTCCAATGAAAAAATACACTGCTGTGAATGATAATGAATTTAATAAGTGCTTTTCTATTATAACAAAACCACCTATTCATTTTATTTAATGGGTTCTTTTCAATACATATTTGTTTCCATCATACTTCCAAGGATTTCTTCTAATTCAGTAGAATGATGAGATCTAAATCCATTCTCTGAGTACATTCTGATTTCCTGTGGTCCTGTTATAACAGCATAACACCCCATGGTCAGCGTGAAGGAATAGTAGGGTTCTCCTACCGTTTTTCCCCGCTTTACTATGGGGGGATGAACATGAACAGAATGTATATGAATGAAAATCAGGCTCTGATCACTGATTACTTAATGTGTTAAAACTCAGAAATTGTGTTTTACAAATCGTAGGAGAGCTGGAAAAGCTTCGCTAATGAAGTATGAAGATTATTTTTTGCTTTTGCATAGAAATTTGTAAGTGTATCTAATACCTAGTTCCAGACTGTATTATTTTTGACTTAATTGAGAAAATTTCAATGCAAATTTGTTAGATACGT